GGGCAACTGCACCATCCTGCACGTTGTCCGTACAGAGCCCAGGCTGCATGAGCCCATGTACTATTTCCTGGCCATGCTTTCTCTCACTGACATGGGCATGTCCCTCTCCCCAGTGATAACACTTTTCAGGGCGCTCTGGTCCATTTCTAGGGAGATTCAGTTCAATATCTGTGTGGTCTAAATATTTCTGATTCATACTTTCTCCTTCATTGAGTCATCTGTGCTCTTGGCCATGGCCCTGGACCGATATGTAGCTATCTGCCACCCACTGCTATATGCTACCATTCTTACACCAAAACTGATCATCAAGGTTGGGATTGCAGCCCTGCTCAGGAGCGCTGTTCCACTAATCCCACTCCTGGTTCCTTTGGCCTTCTTCCCTTTTTGCCACTCCCACTTCCTCTCTCATTCCTACTGTCTATATCAGGACATAACCCGCCCTGCCTGTGCTGACACAAAGTTTAATGTTATATATGGGTTAGTTGTGATTACTATGCTATGGAACCTGGACATTCTGGGCATTTTAGTATGGCTTTCATCCTTTATTCAGTGTTAAAAATTTCATCCTGTGCGGGGAGACTGAAGGCACTCAACACGTGTGCTTCCCACATCTGTGCTGTGCTCATTCTGTATGTGCCTATGATAGGGTTATCTATTGTCCATCATTTTTCTAAGCATTCCTCTCCTTTCATGTACATCTTTATGGCTCATATCTACTTACGGTTCCACCAAGTACTCGATCCAATCATCTAAAGTGTGAAAACCAAGCAGATTCGCCAAGGGGTGCTCCACTTGATTTTCTCCCCCAAAACTGGTTCTATTTGATGTAGTCATGCTGTAAAGTAAATGAAAGTATCAGTTGTAATGTTGTAAATACATGGTGAATTGCCTCCTCTAAGTATGTTGGAGTCAGAGTTATCAACAAAAGATCACTTAAGAAGCATAAATAGGGCTGGAGATTTAGCTCAGCGGCATAAGCGCCTGCCTTGCAAGTGTGTGGTCATGAGTTCTGGTACCAATAAAAATGAAAAAGACAAAAAAAAAAAAAAAAAAGCATAAATAAACCAGATGGAACCTGATAAAGAGGACCTGTAGGGCACAATTGGTGCCCACGCAGACTCCACAGTTGATGTAACATGGGGTTTATACATCCTTGTTAACTGTGAACATTTGGCAGAAGAATGTGCTGGGAATCATTTACTCCCATATCTACATGTTGAAGATACTTACAATGAATTTTTTCTTAAATATGCAACACCTACATTTCTTTGTTTTCTTGTCATTCTACAATATTTGCTATGGAGTACTACTACAGTCTATTATTATTATTATTATATTGTTATGTTTGTAAATCTGTTAACTTAGTATAAACATATTGTGGTTCAACCAACACGGAGCATCATAATCACTTTTAAAGTTTACATCTATTCTTTTTCTACATTACCTGATTTCTTAAGGAACACAATCATATTGTTTTTACTTTACTTTGTTTTTGGAAATAATTTAACCTTCTAAAGACCTCGAATGAAACCCAAAATGTGTAAATTTTGTTGTAAAAAAGAGAGGAAAAAAAAGTGTTCTAAAGTATGCAACTGCGGGTGTTAAATAGATGCCCATATTAATGTTTTTGGTTGAATCATTGAACACAACTGTTTGCAGTCTCACTGTTTGAATGTCCACTTTGTATGCTTTGATACTGTGACTTGAGCAACTGTCTCTAGGATGATAATTGTAATCTATTAACTGGTGATTTCTTACTGTTTTTTTTTTTTTTTTTTTGTAGTTCTGTATTAATTGTACCCTTACAGTGCTTTGTTTATTTTGTTTTTTCTCTTTTTCTTTTAAATAAAATAAAAAAGTATTTAAAAAAAGATAATTTCAAAGATATTATGATAGGAGTATAGTAATTGGTGAACCTTTGATTTTACTATATTTAATGAAAATTTAGAGTAAACTATACATTTGTACACAAGGAATACAAATCATTGATATGTAAATATTTACATCTTATGCCAGCTAACGTAGGATAAATTTTATGTAATGTTTATCTAATATTCTTTTCTACATATTAAATTATCCTTTCTTACATCTCTGGAATTGTCAGGTAAGTGATTGTGTTTAGTTTTAATATATTTGTTGTTAATTTACCTGCATTTACCCAATTCTCATGTCCACATTAGCTCAAAAAAAAAAAAAAAAAAAAAGACCAATGGCTAAATGAAGACTTAAACAAAGAATTTTGGCTATCAATACTTGTATATGTCATATTCTAACTGCATATTTATATAAATTGTATTTTAATTGCTATCATTCAAGAGCTGCAAGAATTAGACTATATGTAGTATGAAAATGTCTTTTAACGATTACTTATGGTAGAAATGTTAATGAAATAAACGGGTCTTAAAATAACATGAGCAGTTTAATTTTTGAATCCCAGGACTCTCTTGTGGTCACATTTCATACAATAAAGACATCTCAGAAACTTATAATTAATATCTCACTTTTTGGCATACTAAGAGCTCCTGGCATGTCAATGAACTTTTCTTTGCCCTCTGATCTTAATTCAACTGTGTGTGTTCTCACCACTGTTTTATAATTTTATTGAATATAATGATTTTTAGCCTCTCTTTTAGTACATTAACCTGTTCCAAGAAAATATAAACTACGGAAGAAGTTTGAACATCAAAAAGAGATAATTCTCTTTGTATAATAATGAGGAAATAATTGATTAAAAAGAATATTTTGAGAACATGAACATGACCATCAGTTAATTGTGTTGGTAACAATTAATTACACATAACCATGTACGAAATATGGCACTCAAGTACTTACTGAACAAATTCTTGAGAGCAATTGTTCTAAACAATAAAAGTTTAATGAGATTTTTACTTGCAAAGTTACATTTAAGCTATTAAAACTTTCATTTTTTGAATTTATAAATCTGTTAAAATATTTTAGTGGTTATAAATGTGAAATAAATTCACATGAATTTATTATTAATTATAATCTACTCTCCTTTTCCTTATAGTTTATTGTTAGAATTGTTACATTCATTAAGCATACCTCATTGAAAACACATGGAAAATACATATTCTAAAAATTAAGATGCTCCTTCCTAATAATGCATTTTGTAAAGAGAATAGGGATTTAATATGTGAAATAATAAGTACGTTGATGGCAAGACTGTGGTACTAGCAATTGAGAAATTAAACTTTCTCTTGTTTTTAGAACTTAAGCTGTGGAGTCCATACCTTTGTTACATACCCAGAGTTATTAGAGAAAACTCTACACTTCTTGGCCAAAGTTGCAACAATATAATTAAAGCATCTATCATATTTGATTATGGACTGATAAATAAGAGATATTTTCAGTCACATTACACTTTAAATAATTTCATGAGTTTGTTTGTCTCCTGAAAGTATTCTCTGCATTTCTGCAGAATATGTAACTTATCCATCATCTCAAATAATAGTCATCAATTTTGAATTGCAAATTCTCCTTAGGCAAAAATATCAGGAGTTTGTTTTCACAATGTTCAGTGTCACCCTTTGTGTAATGTGAAGACCATCTTCATACAGCAAAAGATCTTCTTTTGCAAAACACAATGAAGGCAACTGTAATGGTGATATCCATTTCACCATCTAAATATTTGACCGTTCCTTCTATAAAAAGCACGTTGTAAAACACTTAAAAATTTCACTTGCCATACAATCGTTCAATCAAATGATTTAAACTTCAAAGAAATTTATTTTCAAAAAATGTGGATTACATAAAATCTAGAAAGAACTATGTACATTTGTAAATAGGATGACACATAAATATTTTTCCCTAACACTCAATTCTATGTAGAATGTGTATGTCAATATTATATTATTTATGCACTTTCTTCTTGTTAGTGTAGCTGGGATATAATTCAGGTTTTTTTTTTTTTTTTTTTTTTTTTTTAACAAGAGATGAATGTGTTCTAGGGAAGAAATTGACTATGTTGGAGGGGTTGTGGCTGTTAGGTTTGTAGATTATAAAGCAAGACCCTGGTTCCATAGCTGCAGTTATCAAGGAAGAATAGCAAAAGCCAAACTAGAAAAACTAGTTTAAATACAAAAGTCAAATGAATATTGTGAACAAAATGCCAATCATTTGCAATTATTTCTTCCTGTCAAAGATGTCTCTAACACAGTTGTAACTCTTTAAATTGGAACATGAAAGAATATTATGTGTTTATCCAGGATAACAATCTGAACCAGTCTGAAGCTAATATACTTATTATCACAGAAATAAAAGCAGCTGAGACAAAGGATGTCATGTCTTTCAGTGATGCTGTCATGGTTGAGAGACCTTAGCAGCCTGGCTTCTGTCCCTACTAAGTCTTATCTTATGCTTAGATGTCACAATATAACTCAGGATGTTTCCATAAAATAACCAGTTTTTATGTACTTTATCAAACAAAAGTGAATGTATAATATGTGAAAGTTTCTTTAGCATGAAAAAATAATAAGATAAATAAATATTTTCTGGACACTGAAAGAAAGTGTATTTGTTTAGAAAAAAGGAATAGATTTTTAGCTATAGGTTCCAAACATAAGTGCATATCAGATAATTCCTTATATGAAATTATTATTTATTATTGAGTAATTAAAATGTTTATATTTTTAGCAATTATTTGTTGCTTGTTAGTGTTTTTAGGTCTTGCTGGAACAGTCAGATTTGGAAACAGAATTAATACCTGACACTATTGAGTTTTAATTTTATCCTTTATCCTTGCCATGGAAACGACATAGAAGAGGCAGATCTGATGTAAAAACAGTATTTCAATCCTTTACATTGTGCTGCCATTTCACTAACTACTTTAATATATTGGTGGACTCTTTGATGGTGCCTAAATTTCCTGTTACCATCTTGTATACCCATATCAGTAATGTAGCGTTTGGGAATATGAATATTCTATGCTCTATTCAGTGGTTAGGAAATCTTGGATAGATTTGCCCAGATTGATCCAGATTTCATATTTTAATCTGATCATCCATCTCAGATTCCTTTGTCCTTGTTAATTCATTGTTCCAGGGTTGTTTTGGTTGGCTAAAGAGCCCCAGTACTCGAATCCTTATTTCTTTAGTTTTTATACCATAAACAATGGGGTTCATTGTAGGTGGTACCAGTAAATAGAGGTTTGCCAGGAGAATAAGAATGTACCTGGGAATCTGACGCCCAAAGCGATGGGTAAAGAAGGAGAAGAAAGCCAGAGTGTAGAATATCAAGATGACACATAAATGAGCTCCACAGGTTCCAAAGGCTTTTGTCCAAGCCTCACTAGAAGATAGTTGGAAGACTGTTCTTAAGATTAGCCAGTAGGAAACTGTGATAAAGACAAAGTCCAGCCCTGTAGTGAGCAGGGCAGCAGTGAGCCCATAAACACTGTTCAGAGTGATGCTATTGCAGGCCAGTTTGGCAATGCCCATGTTCTCACAGTAGGTGTGATGGATGATGTTACTCTTACAGAAGTGTAGACGAAGAATGAGGAGGACACCAGGAGTGACAACAGCCACGCTCCGAGCCACCAGTGCTAACCCTACCTTGCCAATGAATGAACCTGTCAGCAGAGTTGCGTAGTGCAGTGGTGCAGATATGGCCACATAGCGATCAAAAGCCATGGCCAGTAGAATAGCAGATTCAGAGAGGAACAGAGCGTGAACAAAAAACATCTGTGTGAGGCAGGCTGGGAATACGGACAGAGAAGGACCCTGCCAGAAGATAAGAAGCATTTTGGGCACTGTGACTGTACAAAGGAGGACATCGTTGAGTGCCAGCATGGTCAGAAAGAGATACATGGGTTCGTGGAGGCTCTTGTCACAGGCCACCACAGCCATAACAAAACCATTGCCTGTCACAGCCAACAGGTACATGAAGCTGAAAGGGATGGAGATCCAAATTTGGAAATCTTCTAATCCTGGGACACCAGTCAGAAGAAAGGATGTGAACTGAATAGATTTATAGTTGGGAGCTGTGACAGAGAGGTGGCTGGAGTCTACTGCATAAAGAACAGAAACATAACATCTAGAATAAACAATAGTACAAACATATTTATCAAGCCCTAATCATTCCTTTTGATTTGATGGCATGAATAGCATGAATAACAGTATCTGAGATACATTATTAAATAAAAATGTTTTGTAGTAAATTCCTTTTTTTGAAACACTGTGTTTCCTTTTCTTTTTAAAGAAAAAGCATGTCAGAAAAATAAACAGTTGAATTCTTTTTTTTTTATAATTTCAGTTGGTTTAACAATGTAATCCATACATGTATCTTTTGAACTTTTAATTGTTGTATGTGTATTTGTTTTGCATTTTATCACCATAATGGAAATATTAACATTAAAAGGTAAATTTTTTCTTTTACTCTTATCATAATATTTAATAGAATACTGGAAAAATGTTCCTTTATATTTTCTTAGCTGTGGACAAACTAAATGAGAGAAGTGTTGAATGTTATTCTGATATATACCTAGAAATAATGTTGCCAATTCCTGTTTCCCATTCTAAAATGAAAATATTCTGATGGATTAATTTCATAACACAAATAAAACCCAGATATCTGTTAGGCATCTACACCCATGAAAATCATAATGGAGCTATCATTAAATTTAAAATGTTATAAAGAAAAATCAAAACAAACCATCAAAAATTTAAAATGGTATAATATCATCCACACCCTAACAAGACTGACTCACAATGATTCTAACATGGAGTTTTTACCACAAATAAAAATTCAATGTAAAATACATTTTCATTCGAATAAGAAAATCCTTGAAAAAATCAGGGGCCATGATTATTCACTATCTCACATCAATATAGTATTTTACAGAGCACAGTGGTTGTCATTTTCATTTCTGTCAACATGACAGCTAGATCCAGTTTTCATAAGTTTCTCATTGCGATTATTTTTAAAATTTTTATATTAGTACGTAATGTTAACATTCCTTGCAGGGAACTGGTACATACACATAATATGACTTAACTCCCTTTTTTTCTCTTTTCCCTTTCCTTCTTTCCACCTGCATTTGTCTTTTGCTTCTCCCATTGTCTAGTCACCAAGCTATGTATACTACAACATGCTTTGCACAAAATACCTCAAATACAAAAGTATATTTTTCCATCCTATGAAATATTGACTTAATTGATCAAGCTGGCAATTAAAATCAGTAAATTTTAATTTTAGCAAAGACAAAATAAATATTTATCAACATTTTTAACTGCACTTTTGAGAAGCCTCAGTTCTGCACACGGTGGGTGGTCCCTAAATTATGTTCCAAGATTTGAGATCTTCAGCAGCCCATTTTCCATGTGGTACCTCCAAGCTGACAGAAAATTGCTCTGCTGTTAAAAATACTTATCTGCCCCTACGTTAATCAAAATTATCCTTTCTTTAGAGCAATCTAGTGTACATCGTCACATTACCAATGCATATTCTATATTTTATTAATCAATATACATTATTCTCTTCTGCCTTAACATAGATGAGAAAAAATGCAAAAATCTGAACTAGTTGGCAACAGATAGGATCACTGTATAGATTTTAATAAAAAGCAAAAGAGAGAATTGTTGGAATGACATTAGAAACATAGTGGTATAACTATTATTATAACTGCTATTTAAGACAGAATTTGCCACTTATATGGTTGTCTTCCAGCAAAATAATTTATTTAAATATTATCACATTTAAGCAGAAGCTATCACATATTTTCATGGGAATTGCCAATATAGCAGAAATAATAAGCAATAATAATATTTGAAAATGTTTATCATTGTTTGTGATGTAAGTATTGTCCTAAAACTTCCTTTTTCCATGTATTCTACATAGATTGTCAAATTTAAGGTTCACAACTACATATTACATACTTTTTATTATCTGAGTTTTACACAGACAACTCAGATCCTGTTGGATTAACTTACCAAGATCATATCACCATATAAAAAGTTTGCTGTAAAGTCTAGAGATGCTACTATAGAACCTGCAATTTTAAGCACTGAGTTATTCTAACTTACCTTTTCTATACATTTTTATAAAGAAATAATAGCATAAATCATAGATCTTGATTTTCTTCTTAAATTCTCCTATAGTAATGATTATAAGAAATAGATACAACAGTCATTTCTAGCTGTTAGAATTCACAAAAAATATGTATATATTTATCTCTACTGTGGATGGATATTTATAAGAACCACCCAGGGAATAACCCTGAATGAGAATTCCTTTGAGAATTTTACATGGTAATTACTTTTATATCTGAGACCTCACAATTAGTACTTGGATTAGATTACTAAAGTCATGCCTTTCACATTTTTGAAATGATGTTTTTCAATTCTGAATAGTATTTGTTGAATTTCCATCCCAAGCCAACTCTTAGTGTCATCTATTTGCATGATTTTGCAAGATCAATATTTATTCTTTACCAAAAAATTTAAAGATTTCACACTGTATACATCTAGAACATGAATATCTCCCAACTTAAGTTCTTGAAGTGATTTTAGACTATGCTAATAAATTATTCAATATCTTTTTAGTGTGATATTTTCAGATATATAGATAATAGATTTTATGTTACTGAGCAATTTTAAGTTTATAAAAAATAAATCAGAAGTGTTTAAATTGCATATTTCCCCCTATAATCTCTCTTTTTTCTCTATCATGAAAATCTTATATTAATGTGATACATGGTTATAATCAAGGAGTCAATTTATGACACTTTAATTTTAGCTAATGTCTATATTTTAAATCAGACTTTACTTCTTGTGTTGTATATTATATAAATTTTAACCTCACAACTCTAAGAAGCCTTAATTGATCTTGACAACTATATGTAAATTAATTTTTATTGACACAGTTCTTACTTCTTGGTCCTAACTACTCATTAGGATGAACTTTCTAACATCAGAATGTAGACAATAAGACTGGGAAAGTACATTAGAGAGGCAGAAGAACAGCCCTTTCAAGAGAATGAGGGATGACAGGCACCTCTACTGCCAAGGTTTGCAAAAGAATAACCATGGATACCCTGGAGACCACCAGTGTGTGAGGATGGACGAATAGTGCGGTGGATGAGAAAAGGCCACATAGCAATCAAAGCCATGGCCAGAATAACAGCAGACTCAACATCCTGGAAGGTGTGAATGAAGAACATCAGGGTGAAGCAAGCAGGGAAGGTCAGCTCTCAAGCATCCAGCCACAAGATGCACAGCATGGTGGGGAAGGTGATGAGGGACAGATCCAGATCAGAGGCAGCCAGCATGGCCAGGAAGAGGTACATGGGCACATGGAGAATATCCTCTCTCAAGACAACTGTGATGATGGCCAAGTTGCCCACCAACGTGATGAGGAACATGGCACAGAAGAGTACGGAGACCTTGACCTGTACAGCTTAAAGCCCTGGGATGCCTGTGTCAAGGAAGCTGGAGAATATGCAGTCTGTGCTGTTGACAGGCAGTGTGATCCCCTGATAGCATACTTGTCCTAGAACACAATGCGTTGTCAAAGGCCCCACTGTTGGTATTTAGGGAATAATTTTAAAAGGTGAGAGTATTTAGATTGTAATTGGAATTTTTGCCCTATTAATAGACTTAGCAGATAATGATGGCACCAGCAAAAAATGAGATGCTATATTACACTATAAGTTCCTTGACAATCTGAAAATAAAACATGCATCCATTGCATATTACTCTTTTGCTCACATTATAGGACCTAATGTAAAATAAAGTACTTATTTACTTTATGTACTAAAGCGAGTTCATCGATTCACTTAAACTTCACTGAATTCCTAAGACACATGCTTCTTACTGAGCTTAGAGTGCTACATTATTACAAATGCTTCTAATATCATGTTGTATACTTAAGTAGCTTACACATTTATTTTATGGTATATGAATGTATGTTCCAGCTCATATTGACAATTTGGGAAATACAAGGAAAATTATAATAAAATAAGATAGGGAAATTTGTCATCATGAATAAACACATTCTAAACCTTAAGATAATATTTGTATCTCTAGTCAAAAATTATGGACCTAAAATTCCTTATTTTATAAGTAAGATACTTGGTTTTTTTACATATTTCTTTTGTATATATCATTCATCTAATATCAATATTAAAAATTGGCAGCAGCATTTTTGCTGTATGATGTACATTGTTCATTTATTCTTTTTTTAAATTTTTTTATTTAAGTAGAAAAGAAAAAAACAGTGAAAGGGTACAAGTTATACAGATTTACAGAAGAAAAAAATGAACAGAAGGAAATCATTAGTCAATGGATTACATATTGCCATCTTAGAAATAATTGTTCAAGTCACAAAATTAAAGCTTGTAAAGTGGACATTCCAACAATGATACTGCAAACAGTTCTGTTCAATGACCCAATAAAACTCTGTGATATCATTTTCTATCTTATACACTTAAATATACATGCAGTTATATAGTTTAGAGCACTTTCTTTTCCTCTCTTTTGTACAATGACTGTTACACATTTTGGGTTTCATTGCTCCCACGGTTCTTATTGCTTTTTTGCAAGAGAGTAAAACCAAATGAGACATAACAGAACAGAATCGGTCAAGTCAAAAGGGTGGACATAATAGATAATATAAAAACATAATACAAGGTGATCAACAATGGTTACCATAATGCCTCCCGCTATCTCTAATAGAATTGCCTATATCATTAGTTATAATACAATTGAACAATTAGTTATAATACAATTAAAAAACCGACAAAACCAAAACATTGGAGACATTGTAGGTCTTCAAAAGTAGATAAAAGTCAATGAGAATGGGCGTTATAATGAATCTCATTATCTGCACAGCTGATGCCTAAACTTTCAAACTATCCAGCAAAACAGAATAGGGTAACATCAGTCCAAAACAAGATGGTGAGAGTAATACAGGGCTTCAAATCGAGATAATAGAAAGTCAAAGTGGGTTACTATATTATATCCTGCTATTTTTTCCCTTTAATTAAACAGATAAAAATTTAAAAAAGTAAATAATGGAGTGGAGATTGAGAAAAAAGAGGGCATAGCAGCGAAACAGCGCAGATCAAAACATAACCATTTAAGCAGAATAGTGTTTCACCACCAGATAATCCTGACATAAAAGTAGTTACCATATTGTCTCTTTCCTTGAAATCCTTGAGTACAACTTCGTATACTGTAGCATTAAGTGTATCAAAACAATGTAAAACCCTTTAAGAGAATGACAGCATTACAGAGTATTTAGAATCGACTAACAGAAAATGAACAATGGTTTCTGTATAATCTCCTTGTCTTTAAAAGATTTTTGCTTATACTATCGTACATAATAAAATCCAATAAGATACAACCTGTTTAGACCATTGGAGACAGAAGAACAAAAGCTAGATGAGACTTCAAAACAAGATGATACTAAATCAGTATTACCTATTAAGACGTCATTTTCTCCAAAATAGCTGTTCCTATCATCAAATCTTCTCTGTCTCATTTCTGTTGAGCTCTTTTTCTGTCAGTAGCTGTCAGTTTGTCTTCTTCATTTTGTTCTCTGATCCAATCGTTGTGGCCTCCCCGCCACTATTTCTGGGTTCTTTGTATTTTTCTTTTTTTAGAATATCCTGTAATACTTTCTGTAGGGTTGAATTGGTGGTTGCAAATTCCCCCAGTTCCTCTTTATCCTGGAAGCACCTTGTTTTTCCATCAATTTCCAGGGACAGTTGTGCAGGATATCTCAATCTTGGCTGGAGATTATTATCTTTTAAAGCTTGAATTATTTCCCCCCATGCTCTTCATGATTTGATGGTTTGTGCAGAGAAATCTGCTGTAATTCTGATGGGTGTTCCCTTGTAAGTGGTCTGTTTCTTGTCTCTGACAGCTTTTAATATTCTGTTGTTGTATTGAATTTCTGGAATTTTTATTATTATATGCCTGGGTGTTTCTCTGTTAGGGTTGTAGGTAGCTGGGGTCCTGTATGCCTCATACATCTGAGTATCTTTACCTTTTGCTAAATTAGGAAAATTCTCCTGGATTATTTCTGTGAGTAGCTTTTGTAGTTCACTTGTTTGTGTCCCTACGTCTTCTTTTATGCTCTTAATCCTTAAGTTATGGCTCCTCTTATCATCTTCTTATCTTTGTATTATTGCTGTTTGTTTCTTTGTTATTTTTAAGAAGTTTTTCATTTCATTCTCCCATATTACAAGTCTGCCCTCCAGTTCAGATAGTCTGTCCTTAGTTTCTTTCAAGCTGTTATGCCAGTCTTGGATAGACTTCTTAATTTCTTGATAGTCCCTTTGAACCTGCTTCACGTACTCTATGCTTTCTCTGTTTTCTCCATCAAACAATTCTCCCCTCTTTTTCTGTTCTTCCATTCCACCATCTGTTTTTTCCTGGGTGGTGCTTAGCATTTCTCTAACTATTCTGCATACTTCTAGCTTCAGGTCGTTGATAACTTCATTCCTGAATTGGTCTATGAGGCTCTCTATATGGTGCTTAATGTCTATTGGTGTGGTGTCCGCTATTGCCTGTTTCTCAGAATTGGGGGCCGAGGAGCCTTTCTTGTTGCTTCCCTTCCCCATATTTTCTGTTCCTTATATATATGCAAACTTACATAGGAGGCCGAGCTTCCCTGCCTGTCAGCCACAGTCTGATCAAATTGCACTGGCTAGGTGTTCCCGCCCACCGCTGTGCACCAGGGAGTTATGGACTAGGCAGCTTATGTGGGAGTCAGTCGCCCCTCCGGCCACTGTCAGGCTCTGGGATCTGGGTTAGGCCAGCCTACCAAGTCCGCCCGCAGCGTCCTGCAGGCCAGGCACTTTTCACCAATCCCGTCCGAGAGGGGAATGTGTGGCTGGAGTCGCCACCGTGCCCTGCTCTTACAGGACTGCCCGAGCCCAGAAAGTCCTCCGCTGGAGTCAAACTGTGGTAGAGTGTCAGTTTCTCTCACTCACCTCGCCACAAGTCAGTGTATGCCTCCTTGTCCATCCTGTTTTTGACTCCGTTCGCAGACTCCCGTTTTCAGAGCTTCTCCGCGTCTCTCCTTGCCGAGCCACTGTGGAGGCAGCCAGCCGCCGAGCGGCGGGAAACCCAAATCGCGGTTTCCAATGGCACGGGGTCCAGCCTCCACACCAAGTCTTTTCTGTTCCTATTTTAGCGCCAGGACTGCATTCCAAGTTGGTTTCTCTCAGCCCAGTTCGTTCCTGAGTCAGCAGAGCATATCTCTACCAGCTCATGTCTCCTTAGTCCACATCATTCCTGACTTCTGAGCCGAGCCTTTCAGAGAGCCTCTGGTAGTTGCTATTATCTGTCCGCCATGTTCTCCCGGAAGTGTTTTCTTATGCCATGAGTTTGAATCTGAACAGATCTATAGTAGTACAAGAACTATTCAAAAATTTTTTGTCTTTTTCTTGTATTAAAAGCTGTGGAGGGCAGTCTGATAATGAAATACATAAGTAAAATCAATAATGTATCAGTGATGAGAGTATTTTTATGATCAAATTTACCACAATTTATTTGTTCCTTAAAAGCCTACTGTAAGTATACTGAAGTTATTTTGTTTTTGAATGTGATTCAGAACCTTGCCCAAATGGCCAGCCAAATCTAACTCCCAATTGAAGGAATGGCCTGTTAAAACCATGTACTACTTCCTCTTCAAATTTATCTTCTTTTGTCTTGTGATGATGATAAGACGAACCTATCTGCTGTCTGTCACTGATCTTTAAATGCTTCTATTCAGTTTAATAAAATAACATTTTTGAACATTATTTCAAATCTTCTGCTGATAAGTATAATAAGGATATATCTTTTTTCAGTGTAAACTTTCAATTTTGATAATATTGGGTGAAATTCTAAGAATCAAGACATTTTCCTCATTGTTTCTAAAGGCAAATTTTAACCCACCCAGACATAACTCCACCATGCATCACATCACTGCCACTTCCTATTCATGGATTCCTGACATTCTTAGTATCTACACTGCAGATTCAGAATTGAGGGTAATCAATGCTGTCATAAAATTGACCATCTCATCTTCTCTCTTGCCAGATTTTCAAAGAAACTATCTTCTATTTGTGTCAACATTATGCTCCAAAATAACTGAAATTTTTCTTTGTAAGAGTTAACA